GCTGCTACAGGGAGTAAGGAGAAGGGTTTGAATTATTTTATGCCTCACCTAAACATACTGCAGCTTATGAACTCTAGGGCAGCGCATCTTTACATTACCAGTGTAACAAGTGGGCATAAAAACCACCCAAGTTTAGTTGTGCAGATGATATCAGCTGAGTTGGAGGCTGGGACAGATGCAGGGCTCACATCCTCAGACAGCAGAAGAGCTTTTAAGTTTTCCACAAATCAAGCACACTGGAGCTGGCTCCGATTAAAAGGCGTCATTCAAATTCAGCCCTACATTAACAGGTACAAGTCTCAAAATGAAATGCAAATAACTGCAGCAATGCCCCTCAAAAACATAGAAGTGGCAGAGGGTAATGCAAATCCCCTCTGTGCAAATCGTGTGAGTCATGTCCTCCTGCTGTGTCCTGAAAGGGCAGGGGTAGGAGCTGCCACATTGTAACGGCATGATGGATAAAGCACTGCAATAATCTCTTGATAGCGTTCTGTTGAACAGGAGAGGAACATCACAGGGCTGCTGGGCTGCAGCTCCTGGGGGATTTGTTTCATGACTCAGATGCTTCCCAGCTATGAACTAGTTTGAGCTGACTTTCACTTTGAACACAACTGTTTGCTTTGACTAAGTGATGAATACATTTATCCAGGAGTTTGCAAAATTGTCAGTCTGGTCTCCCCAAAAGGCCAAATTGTTTGATCACATCTATGCACCCCATTTTGCAGCAATAGGCTTTACAGCAGCTCGTGAATTATCATTACTACTGTTAAGGAGGAGCGTCAGGGGAAGAAACTGAAAGATCTTGTGGAAAAAAATACATTTGATTGATCCCAGTCTTACTTTTCCTTTTTAAAATCACCTGCAGTCAGACTGTTGGGGATTTTACTTACATTTTTCCATTTTCTTACTCTTTCCTTCAGAGGAACAGTTGAAGCATCTCTCTGCAGTTTGTGCAAGCAGCTGGGGTAGGAGCTTATGAGACACTGAGCATCTTCTGTGAGGAGTTAACTTATTCTCTGGTTCAGGGTGCACAGCTGTGTCACAACTGGCCCATGCCTGGCCTCTGTACTGGATGCTCCAACAACAATCATCATACATATGCTATTTGGAATTTGGAATCACACAGGTCTTGATCACTTGGCCTATTCTTTAGGTTTCTTGCTCTTCAAAGTAGCTTTATTTCTCACCTCCCATCCCTGGCATCACTTTCACCTGGCTTTTTAACCTACAAACAATCCCCAATAGGCAGTCAGACCCCCAAACATGGACCGTCACAGAGCTACAAAGCAGTGTACTCAGGTCAGAGATTGAAGTTGCTTTAGAAATAAGAAATTAAGTAACATCTCTGCAGATTATTTGGATAATTGTATTTGTATATTATTCAAGTACTGGTATATATGTAAATACTCAACTATTTGTATATGTGGTCCCTACAGAAGCAGCATGCACAGTGACAGAGCACAGGACTAGACAACAAGACTTGAGGTCTGTTCCCAGCTCTGCTACTGACTCACCTGTGACCTTGGGCAAGTCACACAGCCTCTCTAATGCCTCAGTTTCCCCATCTGTAAAATAGGGATAATACTCCTTACCTACCTCGCAGGGGGGTTAGTTCATTATTTACAAGCACTTTCAGATCTTCGAATCAAAGGCGCTATATACAGTAACTAGTTCATGCTCGTAGCAGTGGTACGTACTTTTGTCTTCTGAAGACTAATTCAGGTTAGGATTTTACTATGTCTGTTAAGATAGTTTCCCATGTAGAAAAAAAGCATGATTTCCCACCAGGGGATTTTAGGGCACTTCTACAGTAGACGGAGACCTGGGAGCCTCAGCTAACTTCCTTGGTTTTGTGACATGTCTTACTTGGAAGCTCACCTTACTGTACACTTGTGTTTCACCCTTTTTCTAGTGATACTTGTAACAATTTTTAAACAGAAATTGCCACTGTACGTACTTATTATATAAATGTATTCCTATATAAAACCTTACCCTTTAAATAGATTAAAGCTGGTTGTCACAACAGACTTCCAGGCATGGGGAGGTTCCACAGTCAGCCCAGCACAGTTTATGTGCACACAGAAGTGAAAAAAAAACAGGAACACAAGGGAAACCTCCACTTTGGAAAAGTACTAACAGCATAAGCAGGGATTCCCTTTACTCCAGGGCTATCTCACCAAGTCAGAAAACCAGGCAAATACCAACTGCTCTCTCACTATTAGGTATAGGTCCTACAACACTTGGAACTTCAGTCTTGCTTTTATTTTTTTCTTTCCTTTTCTAAAGGCCAAAATCTCGCAGAAATATATATATATATATATATATATAAAAAAAAAAAAAAGGCTCCATTTTTGACTGAGTTCTCCTTTAGTCAGCTTGCACTGCAGTGTGCCAAGTGTCCCACAGGCATGTCTGTGAGAAAGCTGTGCACAGCCACCAAGGCTGACTTCCAAAACAGCAGCATCAGCCTCCCAGCCCCATTACAATTCCACCGACATCCAGAACGGAGAATTACAAAAAGCAAAAGGCATCCACACCACTGAGGCTGCCCAGAACAAACGAAAACTGTTACTTACCCAGTGACTCTCTGGAGCTGCCCTTGGGGTGGATGCACTGGAAGTCGCTGTCCCCCTCTGCAGCAGCTTAGCTGCACCTGCCCAGGTGTGCCAGAAGCATCAGTGATTTCCATTCATGCAAAGGGAAAATTAATTGAAATCAGTAAGACTACAGGGAATAGTAAATCAACCCACTAGAGTGTCACCTAAATTAAAGTGTCACCAAAATAATCTGCAGTTTTCAGGGAACGTGTAACTTGAAACTTCACAAGTATAAAATCAATCCCTGACTGAGTTTCTGGAGGCAGTGGGAGGCACTCTGGGCTGGCCACGTTAATGTATTTTCAAACCATTTATGATTCAATTGCATTTAATTTTTACACTGCTTTCCCTGTTTCAGACCATTACACTTGTACAAACAAATCATTTATATATTATTCATATAATTCCCTCCATCCAGAATAACTGCTGCTCTGGAGTAAACTGATGATCAAGAATGACTCTTAAAAGAGAATATGCTTTATCTAAGAGAAGTGTATTTAAAAGGCAAAAACATCTTTTGAATGTGTGACAGCATGTTATGTTTCAGGGAAACTCTTCTACCTGCTCTGCTTTTATAAGGCATGCAGCAAAGCAAAACCCAAAACCAACAACAGAAGCCCCCACCTAGCTCCCATCGCCCACTACTGTGAGGCCAACCTGACCATTCCATTCTTTCTTTACACACAGACCCTTCTCAACCTACAGCTCACCAACTATGGAGAACAGCACTGCCCATCCTGCTGGCTGGCATGTCCTCCTTCAGCATGGCTTGTTTCTTTCCTCTGGGGATTTCTTCCCCTCCCATTTAAAGCATTTCCATCAGCAGTGACTCTAAGCCAGAAGAAACAATGCACTCAGAATGAGATGTGATCAGCCAAGGAGCTGGCCATTAGCACGTGAGCTAACAGAACACTGTGATACCTTTTGCCAACAGAATGAAATGCCTTTTGACTATAAATAGTTGCTTTTGAGCAAAGGGGCGCTTTTGGTGTAGCTATTTTTGAGGTATTGTACAGTTTTGTTTAAAAACTACTGAATGTGTTTGTAAGGTGGGTCTGGAAACTAGAGAGCTAGGGATCCTCGAGAAGCAAAGGGTGGTTGCAGATGTGTAAGTACTCAATTTTCTATTCACGAAGCCCTGGAGAACTGGGCTTACACTGGAAATGGTTGTGGGTGTTTTGTTTCAAATCAACCCAGTTTTAATATCAAATTAAATCTTCATGAAAAAGCTATCACAGAAACAGCTTCACGGCAGATCATAGATGAAGATGTGTTTTATTTCATGGGATAAAAAAAA